GTAATGGTTCTGTTTGGAATAATCGGCGCATACAGATGGCCTGTTAAAGTCATCATCGACGCACAAGAAGAACGTCATCTGAAGTATTGCCATACCGAGGAATACAGAGACTGAATAGAACGGCCTGAAGAGTGGATTGACGACGTAAACGAGGTGGTGCAGTGGCGCGGTGGGTCTAGAATCGGGCACTAGCAGCTGCTGTTGATGTTGTACGCGATAATGAACTACTATCCTGAATTGACCCGTCTGTTGGTTTCCAGAGACTGGAAGAACACGGAACAGTGTCTTACATATATGTTCATGCACAGCGAAATGACGCGAAAGTGCTGTGCCTTGTCCGTAACAAATGAAGACCTTTTCGATATTCTTTTGGAGGTTCGAGTGGTGACGTTCCGTTGTCGCGTCATATTTTTGGCTGACTCTGACATTGATGTCGCCTGCTAAGAGGAGACACTTGCTCCTTTTGTACCGATGTGACAGAGCACAAGAGATTTTGATCGTCAGTTCGCGATGTAACTCACCGTACTCAGTGATACAGCAAGATGGCCTGTAATAAACGGGTAACATCGAGCCGTAAAGCGACGCCTTGGAGCGACATTCACCGAAATCATGTACGACTCTGGCAGCAGGCTACAAGTGGGCACTAAAAAGGCAACGGTTGTGAAAGTCCCGCCGTTTGCGACAAATGGGCACGTGAAATATGCGATGAATTTGTATTAAAGTTAGGTGATTCAGCGTTTTTTGGCGGTTTTGGCAAGTTCAGAATCATGGTTGCGATCTCGAGTAAACCCGAACATTGAACTGACATTGGCGAATCTCCTAAGTATGAAATGTGAACAGGTCGGTCAGTTAAAGCTAAAACCAACAACGCTGCTTTGAAAGCAGCCGTGTTCTCAGTGCTGATGTATACTTTGGAAACTGTCTGATGCTCCGGAGCGTCATGAAGATCAGAAAAGCTTCCTTCATTGCTGTCCGTACAGATACTGACGAATACGCTTCGCGAAATTTCCGAAGACCCTTACCTGGCCTGGATTAGTGAAACGACCCAAGAAGAAATGAGAAACTTTCCAAAACTTTTCAGAGCGGTGTCTCTAGATAGGTCAGAAGATAAAACGAAGCGTGGAAACACTTGTTTGAAACAGGTCTGCTTTTCGCATTAAATGTGGCTTTTACCGCTTCAGCTAGCCATGCCTAATATCAGTATGAGACGTCGTTTCAACTGGATCAGACATAACTAATATCGACATCCGTATTGCGTTGCCTTCGTTAATTTTAAGCAACAACAGCAATGCCGGACTGAATGACTAGATAGTGATTCATGTGGCCTTGTTTACGAAAAAAATTTATGATATAAAATCAAGATATTTCGGACACTTCGCTGTTCGTAGTTCAAAAATTATTCAGACGTGAATTTTGCGCCTACTGTATTCACATGATATCTTCTGTTATTCATCTTCATCTTCCATCGCCGCTTCTCCTTTCGGGTCGCGGAAGCAGATGCGTCAGACAGTGCATCCAACGTTCCCGAACCTGTGCCAGAGACTGTGCTTCGACAGAAGACAACTGGAGTCTGGAACAGACTCCTTCCATATGTTTGCACCAGGTTAATCTTGGCCGTCCCCT